GTAGGACTTCAGCTGTGGGATAGTATCTGCACTTATTACACTTTATACTCTTTAACACTGAAGGGAATCGTGAAGGCAGGAAAACATTCTAAGCTCATAAACTTGAGAATGCTTGCATATTGCACAAACACTATGCTAATTATGCTGCAGTCACACTTGGGAAAACTAAATTATTACGAAAGTGTGCAATGCACTTGCGATATCTTTGCCGTTGATGTGGCTGCTCTGCAGATGGTGATCGTGTCTGCAAACACTCACAGTCAGTTAGCATTTTCAGAGTCACTTTGGTGGATCAAGACGGTCATAAAACAGCGATAAGATGGAGTTCAGATGGAGCATGGTCATCTTCTTGGGGAACCAGTCTGTCGCTCCAACTACTTGTGAATCTGTCCCAAAATATTTTACTGCAATATCCGGAAAACCGGTGAGAGTTTTCCTAATTGCAAGGAGGTTGCTGTCCTATTTTTACTCTAGTGTGACTGAGCCAATAGGACACCATGCATGAGCTGAACTTTGTAGGGACACATCTGTGTTTAAAAAATCTTAGGTAATATTCATGTTTTGTTGGCCGTGCTTAAAAAAAAAAGCAAGTTTAAAGAGTTATCAAAAATCCAACCATTACGCAGATCATTTCGAACTTATGTAACACAACTGACATGGCTGTTTGCAATTACAATGTGATTACTGAGTTTAGGACCAGTAATGTATGTGTTGTAATTTGTTAACCCACTGTGGATCTTTTCAGAGTATAATACACTCTCGCTCCTGCATGCTGCTGTGGTAATAGAGACCTTTGATACTTTCCCATTCCACTATGACTTTAAAGTTGTGAGTCATACTCGCAGCTTTAGCGGAACACCTCAGCGTCTTATTTGCACAGCCAAAGAGCCAAAGCCGGACTTTAGTAGAGTGGGTACAGTGTGTCCAGATAAAGTGGTCAGCACTATGATGACTAAGCCAAGACAATACTCTGTTACTGCACTCACAAAGATAAACACACACACACTGGAGACTTGCTCCACCTCTCTATGTCCATTCCTAGTTTCTTTTGAGCTCCACACACATATGGCTTTCCGTAATACGAGGTGGCAGTGAGTCATTGTGTGTGTGTGTGTGTGTGTGTGTGTGTGTGTGTGTGTGGTAACATCACCGCTCTCACCCCTACTCCCCTTCTTGTTTGAGCTGTGTTTTTCTTGAGCATCTGGTTGAGGAGATGTGTGAGGGAGGAGTATGTCCCATTTTGCCAAAATCTCTGGGCCGATGTTGAACACGGAACATCTGGATCAGGGAGGGACGTTACGTACGTACGTACGTGTGTGTGTGTGTGTGTGTGTGTGAAAGAGAGGCATTGTGCCAAAGAAATCAATCGGAGTCACATCTGGCAGGCACAAAACGCAGCTGGACGCACAAGCAGTCTTAACACAGATCATGTGTTGTTAATACAGAGGTGAGACAAATACAAGACATTTGTAATATACATATATTCGGGAATGTGCTGTTATTACTGATAATTATAGTAAATCCCACGCACGCATGCTGTTAATAACCACCAACCATCTCACAGTTAAAATACCAACTTAAGCCGGAGCAAGATGTAAAAATTCTTTTCACCACATTTATTAGTCTGTACGCGTAGGCTAGCTCTTCACACTGAAGTCAGCCCTGTGAATCCTATTTCCTCACATTCGCATCGGCAGAGCTGCAGACGTTTAGCTTCGGGCTCGTTTTTGCGCCTGTCTCCGCATCTTTTTTGATCAAGAGGAGATCTGCAGTGTAAGTAACAGTTAAGAAGAAGGAATAGGGAGGACCAGAGTAGGAGGTCGGCTCGGGTGAAAGAAATTTCCACGACATAACATCATATGACCGTAAGTTGTCCTGCTTGCCATCTCCCCAACAATACATTCCAGATGGCTGCAAACTCAAACACTAAACTGGGAACAACTATGTGCTTTTTTGGCACCGGGCCCCTTGTTTGTGTAGGCTACACTGAAGTGCTTACGAGTTTTGCGTGGGTTCATAAAGGGAGTGGGATTTAATTTGTGCCATTGATTTATAGATTTATTTTGATGCTCGCCAACCCACCCCCTCTGTCTGGCTCTCATCTTTTTTTCCCCCCTCACTGCAGATGGTTCTAGTTTTGCAGGGCTAGGTCACAGCTATGCAACGACTTCATCATTTCAATGTTTGGCAGTTTCACGGCCCTAATGTGTCTCTCTATCATTAAGTGTTTACTACCAGATAGTTTTGTTCATTTCACGCCACGGTGCACATCATGAGAAAGCCCATCAACCTGCGTTCACATGTATTTTCATTGTAGCCTGGATGAGTTCATTTAGTGCTTTAACTTAGATGAGAAAACTGATACTAATGAATATTATCTTTCCATTAAATAATTACAGCAAGCAGCAGGTTAGTGAACGCTAAAGTTACACTAGAGAAAACAATAGAGGGAGACCAAGGCGCAGCTAAAATTATTGCAGCTGTGTGGACTGAACTTCTCTTGAATCCAGAATAAGAAACATCCACTCATTATATGTGATGCTGCTGTATAAAATATGTGAAACCGCCGATGAAAACTTCATGTAGAAATTCAAAATGGAGAACTTCCTTCAGGGTCCGGGGCGTGGATCCAAGAGGAATTTTTTTTGTGTCTTATGACACGTGTGTACCAAATTTTATATATGTGCTAAATTCGTATAGGGTTTGGAATTTTAAGGGACCAATAAAATAAGTCAATTCACTCGCGACCTAACACGAGCAACATTTCAAGAGTTTTCAATCATGTTTAGGTTCTCAAATATGTAGTTCATTTTTATATTTAATATAACTGAGCAGATACCCTACTTACCATTGGATAAGCAGTTGGGGTTTTTAAAAATGTATTTACTAATGCATTTTTAAAAAATCTGCATTATTGCTGGATGTTGCTCTCTCTGACTTTCTGCCCTCATGCTTGTATTGTACTGACCTGTGAATCTGTTAAGCTACTCTGCTCCCACACAATTCCCTTTTTATCAAGACTAGACGATGGATGATGAACAGGATCATTTAGTGTGTTATAACTCCAATTCTCTCACCTCAGTACTTCATTCCTCTCTTTTCCCAGTAGTTTTATCTCATATTTTCAAAAAACTTGTCGCAGTATCCTTGGTTCATTTCTGCGTCTCTCCCATGTGGTTTGCCATCGGATGCCAGTGCCATTCGCTCACTACTCCTCCCCCGCTGTCCTAGACCATATGAGGGTGTCCTGTATTCCTTACCCAGTACTTCCTTTACTGGGTCTGTTCATTTACAGGGTCCTTTTACTCATGCCAGACATGAGTTAAGCCACCCCAGCCCCCTTCTACCTCTGCTGTGAGGCGTTATGTAAAGCTCTGTAACCCCTTCGCTCACGCCCGTTCACACCTGCTGCAGCAGTGCTGGGGGCGTGCCAGCCAGGTGCCAGTCAGCTGGCACTTTTCCCACATATGAGCGGCACAAACCTCGACATGTGCGGCAAGCTGCAGATGGGCTTGTGGGTATGTTTTGTCTGTGTATGTGTGTATGAGTATCTACTCTTGGCAGATGGCACATGCCTCACATGCCAGACATGAGTAAAGCCACTTGAGCTGTTGCATTTGAATACTCTGCATTACACAGGGAGTGTGTGTGGTGCACAAGAATGGCGAATTGCAAACACACTTCCGGTACACCAGTCTTTGGCAGCATTACCATCAGGGTGGCAGCAATTATGAGAAGTGACGTGTCCGACTATATATTGAGTATAAATTTGGCCCCGTGGTGGTAGAGCTGAGAGAAGTGTTCTGCCCTTCAGTGTTGAGATCACCACTTTACATATGGACATTGTATGTCTTCAGTGTAAGATTAATGTGCTCTCTTACCCTGTAAAAGCTGGAATGCCGATTTATGGATCATCCAGATGGTAAGCGAATAAAACAAGCTCGATCTTTACTCTTATTAATCCAAGCTATATGGAAGAATACGACATGAGATAAGCATTTCTAATATATTGTTATCTTATAGTAATAATTTTATGCAAGCCTTTTTTTCTAGCACTCTTCCTGGTTTGATATTGCAGATTTACAAACTGGGCCTTGCTCGTGTATCTCTAAGCAGATCCCTTAAACTGTGTAGAGAAAAGAGACCAGTTGTGTTCAGAGATTGAGGACAAGAAAAACAGAATAGACTGACTGCTTAGTCCAATTTGAAACTTTTGACTTGGACAACAAGGAAGCTGATGATGCAGTTAATTTAGTCAAAGGACTCAAATGAGGAAAGAGGTGTTTTTATTGTACTTCAGATGTCCTGTTGAAGCTGGGATGTGAGTGTGGAGGAATGAAAACAGTAATTATTTTTTTAAAGCAGGTCATGTTTTGATGGCATCATGTTTCATTATGCTGGGAAATTAGCACGCGCTAAACAGGCCAGCGGGCTGAATGGTCTAATTAGGGAGCGGAGGGAGGATTGTTCACAGGAGGAGTGGAGAGCACACATGTGTGCTGATTAGCATGCGCTCAGCATTCTTGGTGTTTCTTCGAGAGATGAAAGCGTGCCAGGTGCTTTTGTGTTCATTAATGTTCTACCTGTGCGATTTGTACAGCCTGCGTCTGAATGGAGAATCAATGGAGCATTGTGATGGGAAGTGTTTGTGGCACTGATGTACTGACTGCCTTGTTAGAGATGATTATAACTTAATGAGCTCCAGCCAATCAACGAAATCATTCCCACTTCTCTCATAATACCATATGAAATACAGGACTCTGGTTTCTCTCAAGTGGCATTTCATTCAATTATAGTTTGGCACTTTTGCATTTAAATATTTTTTTAATGTGCCTGACTATTTAATTGCTATTAAATGAATGTAATTAAAAAAAAATATTGTTCTGTGCTTGTGGTAATGACACTCAGGTGGTTGTCATTTTTCCTTTGTTGAGTACAGAGATACTCTATGGCCTTCCAGTTTTCCGAAACTAAACTTGCATCCCTTTCTGTGTCTGCAGTACCAGGGAGCACGTGACCCCGGAGATGAACAAGCTTCGTCAGAGCCTGAGGAGGAAGAAGCCCACCTATGTGCCAGAGGCCAGCAGACCACATCAATGGCAGGCTGACGAGGAGGCTGTACGCAAGGGCAAATGCAACTTTGCTGTTCGGGTAAGTATCTACAGTTGATATTCAGTTAAGCTAAGCCTGATTAATTTATTTTTTTCTTTCTTTTAAGCTCCTAGGACCTGGCGTCCACATATGTGGACATCACATTTTTGGTTGTCTAGACCAAAGTACAAAATCTTGCTCTACAAGGGCCTGATATCCACTTACGAGGACATTATACTGCCTCTGTTTCATCAAAATTTAAAGCAAATATCCTCATATGTGGCTCGCATTTTTCTTAGAAACAAAAATTAGGTTAAAAAAATCTGGTGGTTCTTTGTTTTTACATTCATCAGATCCCAATATGCCCAAATATCAAAGAGAAATTTAAAATGCATACCATGAAAGAGTTTGGGTCTTAGGAGGTTAATGTTAAGTATGAAAAAGCAAGTGAGTTAAGACTATGAGATAATATTTAGGCAAGATCTTATGTGCTAGCAGTGATGCTGGCTAGTGGAGCTGCTCCGAGCGAGCCTCAACTAAAATAGCCTTATCACAAAAACACAAAGTGAGATCACATTTTTACACAAACTGATTGCTGAACTAGACAAGATGGCACCGAATATGCCAGTAATATCAGCCATGTCCTAAATACTTTCAGCACAATCGAAAGCTATATTTACTCTCTTATAGATATCAGAGGGCGGGAAATTACCTAAAGAAAACAAAACCTTTTTTTAAAGTCAAGATGCAAACATGTTTATCTCTGTTATAATGTTGGGCTTTTAAGTGGCTATTTAATGAATTGCATTTTGCCTTTGCTTTGTTTTTAAGCCCTGGAGACTGGCCCTTATTAATAAGTAAAGTCAGTGCTGTATAAATACATTCAGCAATAAAGGGTGCACAAGATTCTCACGTAATTATCACTTTATCTTAGCAGTGCGGTCTGTTAGTGTTAATGCAAAGCTAAGCTAGTTGTTTGCTGCCACCAGCTTTCTTGAAGTCTGAATATTATCTGAATTACAAAAATAAATAAATAAATATATATATATATATGACAGACATATATGACAGAAAAAAAGTGCTGTCAGTGTTAATCTCGTTAAAATGATGTTAACGCCATAACCGCATTAACGCGGCAAATCTCTGTTAGCGAGTTAACGCGGATTGTGCCTGGGCTGGACAGCGCTAATGCGTTGACGCCGTCCAGCCCCACGCACGAGATTAATGCTGACAGCACTAATAACAATAGCATAAATCCTATTATTTCTATTTTGTTCATATTATTACAGTACCTAAAGAAAGCAAATATACTTTTTAATGTAATGCCTATGGTTAGGCTGTGTGATACAGTTCAGGATACTTTGGCTCTGACCTTTGATCTTTATAAGAACCATCAGTAGTAAAGCACTGATCCATATTCTACCTCAGTAGCTGAATGCCTCCCATGCCATAAATGCAAAAAAGGGCCGTCATTAATGGGCCAATTTACTGATAACAAGCTCCGTTCTGAGCATGTACTGTATGGCCATCCTTGAGAGCTAAAGTGATTTGTAGAAGGGCTGGAGAGAGAATGAGGGAGGGAGATGGAAGCCAGAGAAAGAGGAGTGACGATGAGGTAAGGTTATAGATTACAGAGAGCACAGGAAATGACAAGGTGAGGAATGAGGGCGCACAGAGGGTAAGGAGAGACATTTTCAGATTTGAAATGAGAGATAGATAGGACCAGATAAGATAAGTGAAAGGAAAGAAAGACCGCAGACTGAATGGACCAGGAGAGAAATACAAAGCAAAAAGATAAAGGCAACAAAGAAAGCTGAGAGTATAAGAAAAGGCATCGTGTGGGGCTGAGGCTAATGGAAAACGGTTCTGATGGTAATGGTCCAAAGAGCTAGCGATGAGATGGGCACTGAAGTGGAGCTCAGAGCTTTAGCAAGAGATGTAAGCATAAAAGCCTCTGTCTCTTTATATGTTGTTTTTACCTCCATGCTCGCTCAGCCATCTTTCTTTTCAGTGCTTTCTCAGTGTTTTTTAAATTCTAAATGAGTCACGAACTATTAATGCCTTTTCAAAAGCATTTGAACTGTAGCTACCAAAAGAATACGTGTCAGCTCAGCTCACTGCTGAAAGAAACGTTGTTTTTGCAAACTAAAGACTGTGGGATAAAATGGCCCATTGGAAGATTTGCCTGGTGCCTCTCATACTTTACGTTATAGAGCATATGAAGCTCTAGATAACCTTACTTATGTTTTGACTTCAATTTGTGTATAATGGTCATCATTATTTTTATTTTTTCTCTAACAACACGTCTTATTTTAGTAATATATCCAGTTAGCAAGCTAGCAAAGTAAAATAACAGCTGCCAACTGTGATAGTGTAAGGCAGACCAAACTATGTTAGCTCAGCCATTGTGACATTAACAATATTAGCCTGTTTGACATTTTAAAAAGAGGGCAGACACCCCCTCTTTCACAGGTAACATTGACACTAATATAATTCCTGTTGTTTACTATCACAAAATAGTCAGAGTATTTGTTAAGGCAAGTCACAAAATCTAGCTCAGCTCATAGTAAATGGTACATGGACTGGTTCCTATATTGCACTTTTCTACTCTACTGGAGCACTCAAAGTGCTTTATACAACATGTCTAATTCACCCACTTTATTTAATATATAAGTGCTTTATATTTAACAATCACACATTCATACTCTAGTGAATGCATCTGAGAGTAATTTTGAGGTTCAGCATTTTGCCCAAGGATACTTGGGGGGTTGGCGTAATAAGCAAATGCTTCAGCCAATACCTTTTGATTAGCCTTGTCTCATGCTTTCTTGCTTTGTGGTAGATCTTTGTTCTGTATTCATTGAGATATTTGAATGCTAATCAATAAAATCAAATCAAATCAATACTTTGACATGCAGACAGGGACCAAACCACCAACGTTCCAGTTAGTGGATGACCTGCTCTAATTCCTGATACCTGCCTAAACCATAGTCCTAATAACAATTGCTGATTTCAAGCCAGCCCACATTAGCTGATGCTTCAATTTATTGTTTGCTTTTGTCTTTTGGAAAGTCTCATAGAAGGCACTCCATACGTTATCACATCGCTCCTACCTACGTTATAGATTTATTCTCGGCTTATGAGCCCAGCTGCTGCCTGTGTTTCTCAGATCAGACCTTCCTGATTGTTTCCAACTGTTTTTTTGCGTTCACACTATTCACTCCAGCTGAATGAGTTTCATTTGCAAGAAGTTTAAATGAAGAGTCCTGGTGTATCAAACGTTAAAAGGAAAAACCTAAAACCATCTGTTTTTGTTTCGTCTGCAGTACCTGGGGTTGGTGGAGGTGGACGAGTCGAGAGGGATGCACGTATGCGAGGAGGCAGTGAAGAAGCTAAAAGTTGTGAGTAACCCACACACACTTCTAACACACACTTTTTGCTGCATTACTAAAAGTACATTTTGTTGCAGGAAGCCAGTTACAAATATGCACCCAGAGGAATTCAGAAACTTTGCAGAAACTCATTACAGACTCGGTGGCGCAAAGCCAGTGCGCCAGTGTATTGACTGAAGAAATGCACAAATGCACGCACGTTCAATACTTGTTCTTCTTGTTGTTTTCTACTTTTTTACCCCGTTAATTGGCCTCTCTGGTGGGTCCTATTCCATATGTATCTGATGTCACCATAGAAAAGCAAGCAGAAAATGAAACTGGGGCGTACGCATGCTCATGTAAACACATAGTTTGCCCCCCCCTGGGAAGCTGGATTTGGACAGGGAGCGTGTGAACAGAGTGACTCAGACTGGCCGGTGTCAGACAGCCACACACACACAGACACACACTTGAGGTTGTAGAAAGGACAGGCGTGTACAACACAGTTTTCATGTTATTTCTCTGCTACTGCTTTTCTTGACAAACTAATATCAAACTGCACTTTTCTTTAAAATCTAGAGTACCACATTTTCAGCTTTGAATCTGCATTTTCTATCTTATCCCCAGGGAGGCATGTAACTGTATAACTTTATATAACAATTTACAGAAAATCCCTAGAAATTTGTTTTGCTCCATTCTCTATCAACACCAGCATCTTTCTCTCTGCATTTGCTCAAGCTAAAATATTTCTCCCAGAGTTCCACTCTGGCTCCACCTCATCATTTAGCCTCTTCTTCCCTCCATCACTGTCAGATTCTTCACCTTCATTCTTGCTCCCTCGTTCTTTTTGTCAGTGGGATTATGCAAAAATGGGGCTCCTTATCGCGCCTCTGTGGGTTTCAAAGCCATTTCCTGCAGTGCTCTGACTTTCTGTTTCCCTTACTCGCACACACAAACTCCGATGCGGATTCGTGTGCATGTGCACGCTCACAGATTCACACAGATTCACACACGAAGCCTTTGCTTTTTCAGTCTGTTTATTTTTAGCATGGCCCATGTTGAGCGTGTTATTAGCGCTGCCTGGTGCCCACCTCTGGCAAAATGATTCGCAGTGCCAGCTGGCACAGTTTTTAGCTGCTCCCGCCTCTCTTTTCTTAACCCTCCACTACCTCATTTATCCCAGGGATGTCATCATTTTACACAACAGCAGGCAAGAATAAAGGTGGCGTTACAGTCTCGCTCATAAGCTTCAAGTACAATTTAATACTGCTACTTGTCTATAAAGGTTTAAATGATTCAGTGTCCCATGTTCTTTGTCTTTCCAGAGCGGGAAAAAGACAGTAAAAGCAGTATTGTGGGTTTCGGCTGATGGACTCAGGGTGGTAGATGACAAAACTAAGGTAAGAAACGCTTATCTATCATGTGTCTCCTTGTTTTGTCCTTCTTTCTATCTCTCTTTTTATCTATGTTATCACTCACCTGACAGCAAGGGCACGGTGCACAGTCGTGCCTTCTTGTTGTCATGTCTACAGTCTTGTCCACACTAGTATTTTATCTGAGTCTTCAGTCTCAGCCTCTCAAGACAGGCAGAGACACAAATAACAGAGTTAGCCTGTCAAAAAGAAGATATAAAGCCCACTAATGCGCTTATTTCCCCTCTAATACTTCAATTTGAAACATTTTTTCTTCTTTTTGTTGCTCTCATATTTAGTAAAGGCATGCATATGCCATCCTCAGACCACCAACAAAACTCTCATTCTGTCCTAGTTTGGTGACCCTAACAGAGGGGTCCACTGTGTTGCTCCCAGGCTTTTGAGACTCTGTGTGTGTGTGTGTGTGTGTGTGTGTGTGTGTGTGTGTGTGTGTGTGTGTGTGTGTGTGTGTGTGTTTGGTATTTCAGAGCTGGCATATGTGACTCATGATTGCTTGCTAAAGGTGCTTAGTGGGGGAGGGAAACTCAAGTAAACACAGACGCACACATGCACTTGAGGAGTGTCTGGCGGCCAGGGAGGCCTCCTACAGTGAGTGCAGCTCGCTGTGGTTATATTGAAAGCAGAGCACAATAAAGAGCAGCAGAGACAGTGCAGAGAGTAAGCCTGATAGAGCAGCCTCTTTCTTGCTTTACTTTTTTTTTTTTTAATGTGTTTAGAGGCCACACATGACCACACCTCTTCCAGTCTCTCAGTCCCACTCCTCTCCTTCTAACCTTCCTCCTTCCTATTGTCTATCTGTTCTATTGTTGTCTTTCTGTTCTTCAATTCAATTCATTTCATGTCAACTTTATTTACATAGCACCAAATTACAACAACAGTCGCCTCAAAGTGATTTATATTGTAAGGTAAAGACCCTACGATAATAGAGAGATATAGGGAGACAGGATGAAAGCTACAGCCAGAGTTTAATAATAACTGCAGAGTGGTGTGTAAACATATAGAAAGTGAAGAAAGACACTCATTGCATCATGGGAAACCTCCAACAATCTATCTTTATTGCACCATAACTAAGGGAGGATTCAGGGTCACCTGATCCAGCCCTAACTATAAGCTTTATTAAAAAGGAAAGTTTTAAGCCTAATCTTTTAAAAGTAGAGAAGGTTTCTGTCTCCCAAATCCAAACTTGGAGCTCTTCATCGCAGTATTTTTAGCCGGAACAAATATGATATAACACAGCAGAAAAACCCTGGATGCTACCATCAGTAAATATTATCCTGTTTGCTGATAACCTCATAGTGGCTCTTTAACCTCCTAAGACCCGAACTCTTCCACGGCATGCATTTTTAATTTCTCTTTGACATTTGGGCTGATTGGGACCTGATGAATGTAAAAACAAAGAATTAGCAGATTTTTTTTTTTTTACCTAATTTTTGTTTCTAAGAAAAATGAGAGCCACATATGAGGATATTCATTTAAAATTTCGATAGAACAGTAGCAGTATAATGTCCTCGTAAGTGGATATCAGGCCCTTGTAGAGCAAAATCGAGTATTTTGGTCTAAATAACCCAAAATGTGATGTCCACATATGTGGACGCCAGGTCCTAGGAGGTTAAAGTAATAAAAAACTAATAGAAAAACTAAAATAAACCTATGTATTTGTGAACCATAATCAACATATTTGTTTAAATATTGCTGTAACTTTTGGAACTGTAGCAACTGAATAGCTTAAACTGAGAGAAGCCAGAAGTGAGGTTTTGGTTTTTTATAAGATTTAATTGCTATAAGTCAGCGTGTTAGCCAGCTTTAACCTTGAAGCTAAAAAACACCAATATCAGCAAAAGAGAAGAAAACGTAGGTTTTGGTGGAGTCACAAGAGGTTGTTTTCTTTTGGCCTGCACTTTTGTTTCTCTTCTACCACATTACCTAAACAACAGGTTAATTTAAAATATACCTCACCTTCACTGAAGCTGTAAGGCTGAATACAAATTTAAAGCCCTTAGCTTTTGACTTGTAAGACCTAATTTTGCTTTTATAACATGTGCGTCTCACCCATGCTTAGTGTGTTCACACAGTGATATAACACATTCATTTCAAAGGGCATGTGTTTGAATAGAAATGTGGAAAGAAAAAGCAGGCTCACTCGTCATTTATTAATAAACTCCTGCAAAAGCAAGTTCAGTATGTTTTATATTCAATAATTCATAAAATGGGTTTACCCTTACGTAGGAACATTAGGAATTCTAATTGTGCATATTAAGGTTGTCATTCAGCGCTCTACACAGGGTTTTAGCATCCTTTAGCTCAGTGTTTTTATTTTTCAGCTGGTAAAAATACTAAATTGATGGCGTCTTTTTGCTTTTATAGCAAGAAAAAGCTCTAATATTTTTAGCAAGCTGTACACACCTTGGCCAACAACAAACAGTGTGCAGACACAATTAACACACTGAAGCCTGTAAGAGTCAGATATTCCAGTCAGAAGATACTAGAGCCCCAAAAGAGAGAGAAAGGAGAATACTGAACTAACTGTGAGATGACCAAAACGTAATTGTCTGCAACATCTTCACAGGTTAATTACGTGTAAACTATTGATGATAATCATTAAAATAATTTAATACAAGTTTAACTTAATAACTTTTTGTCAGACAATCAGCTTTTATCACTTTCTTCCTGTTTTATTTCATTGCCTGTTCGTCATCCTTGCCATCAGCTAACCTCTGTGAATCAGCTAGTATGCTCTTATTAACAGCCCCACGAGCCTTTATCAGAACCTTTCCCACAGTCTATCAGTATACAGTGGGCTTGTGCATATGTGCGACGTGCATGACCTTCATGATAAATCACCAGCAGAAAGAAAGAGTCAAGTCTTATTCCATTCAGCAGAGTGACTCCTCCGCATAGATGACACAGCCAGAGTCACTGCCGAGCTTTATTCTTCCTTTCATTGATAGAAGGCCGTGGTCTGAGTTACCCACCCCCGCTCACCTCATTACAAATATTCCTCACAAGAGCACAGAGAATTATAAATCCCTAGAAAACACATCAGTACATAAATACAGTATTATGTGTGCGTATTAACACAGAGGAAGTCATACCAGTGATGAAGAAACAGACATGTCGGTCTCTGCTCAGCCTTTCACCTCAGTACCAGCATCCCCCTCCATTCACTAATTGGCCCACACTGAATAGGCTGTTATTCTTCCACTTTTTTCTCATCACATCCCTCTTTCCTTTCTTCCCTTTTCCCATCCTCATCCTCCCTCGTCTTCTCCCCTCGTCCGCCCGTCTCTTTGTTCTCTGTGACACAGCAAGGCAGGAAGGGAGTGTGTGGATGAGTGTGTGTGAATCCTCTTTCTGCCTTTTCTTCTTGCTCACGCCTCTTGTTTTTCTTCTTCTTTCTGTTTTTGGTGAGTCAAAGAGGTAAGCTGAGGGCCCCCTTTATGTACACAGAGAAAGACAGTGGCCCCATCTTAGTCTCTTCTATAGTGACTATACATGCTGAAGCCAGCTGAATAACCCTTTTATTGAAGGAAGGGCAAGTTGTGGAAACATCGCAGAGGTTAAAAGAGGCTTCGGTGTCATTAGTCTGTAGTCTCTGTCTTTGCTGTCATCAGTGGATGTGTAAATAGGTTTATGGGGGGTTGATGGGGTTAAATGAGGTTAAAAGCAGTGTGTCAAGTATTGGATCGGTCTGTGAGCTAGTGCTCCCAGTATTAAAGTGATATTTCCTGTTTTTCTTCAATTAAGCTGCAGTTAGTTTGAGACCCTTCTACCTGCTGGAACAATTCAATTGGCTTTAGTGTAATACGAGCACAGTCAAATGCAATAATCTCCTCTTACTCTGTCTAATTTCCTTTGCCTGCCTCTCTCAGGACCTCATCGTGGACCAGACCATAGAGAAGGTTTCATTCTGCGCTCCGGACCGTAACTATGACAAGGCCTTCTCCTACATCTGCAGAGATGGGACTACAAGACGATGGATGTGCCACTGCTTCATGGCTCTGAAAGACTCGGTGAGTAGACAGTTCCAGATACCCTTTAGGATTTATACGGAAAAATGTCTGTGTTGCTCTAGCTTTTATATATATCAGTGCAAACAATTCTTTCATTTGTGCCCCCCCTAAAAAAAAGAGATCTTGAGGTTTACTTTCAGTATTTTAAAGGGGCTTAAAAACAGGAAGAGATTTGCAGTGGCAACAAGGGACCATAATAATTCAGCAACTTGTATCAACAACAGGTAGTAACGGGCACAGTGCAAGTTTAGTTTTTCAATATAATTTTAATCTCTGCTGTCTAAAAATGCCAGATATTTTCCACTTATGTGAAATAGTGTTTGGTAAAGTTTGGTTTAAACAAAAATAAGACTCATCTATATCATAAAGCCATTGACGCACTCTGGATTTTGTCAAGAGAATCAGGTCTGGACATACACAACTGGATAACTCCACTGCTGAATTAGGTAAAGGTGCCATCTGTATGTATATTGTATGGATATTTGTTAGGAAGCATGTATCCCCCATCAGGTAATGTCTATAGATAGCTACATGAGTGCTTTGGATGTTTCCATTTTCTTATGTAGACATACAGCATTAAGTCACACAAGATACTTGGATCCCAGTTCTAAATTTAATTTATTTACGTTGTTAAAATGTCTGAAGGGGAGTTTTCGTAGCTCTTTTTTTAAATAACAAATCACCGAATAAAAATAAACAGACATTTCACCGAAAATACATCTTCAGTTGTTTTTCATATATTAACACGCATTGCAATCTGTCTGTTAGATTTGTATTGTTTATTGTCATTTATGCTTAGAAATATTTAACCATATATGCTTAGAGGTGTGTAATCAATTGTGTAGTGATAGGATGTGTGATCCTTAATAGTCTGCAAAGACTTTGTGTGCATTCCAGAATGTTCTGGCATTCACACCTACATCCTGGGAGCATGGGAGGGGTTGTACCTTCTCTTATTGTTTTATGGTAGGATAAACATAGCTATATCTGTTTTAGTCTAAGTGCCTTTTGTTTAGATGAACTGCTGGACTTCCAGACCAGCAGGTTTAGGGAAGTCGTTTATGGGGTCACACTCTGACCCCCCCCACACACACACACATACTTACACAACGCACAAGCAAGGTACTCTTTGTTTGTATGTAGACGTCATATGTTAATGAACCTATGTATATTCATGTAACCTCAATAAAAGAGCAGTGTTACGGGGGAGTAGATGAGAGCAACTGGGGTCGAGCGAAGGAACAGCGTTTGTCCAGTTCTCTCCCGTGCACGAGAAACATAAAGAACTTTGCCTACTCGTGTCTTGCTTTGCTGTGTAATTAAATTATCTTGAACGTTCCAGCGAATAGGTTTAAGCTACAAACCTATCACTGTCAAAAAGGTAAACATAAACACAACCCACTCTGTGACAGGTGTCTCAAAATACAGCTGTAGCCAATTAAATGATTGTTTATGAATTTTCTCTACCTGTCGCTAAAATAGTGTCACTGGAATGACCTTGGGATAAGCCGACTGAAATTTATAGACATCTGCGATAGAACGAGTGCTGGCATAGTATATGTGGTTCTAAACCCCACAGTGGTTTCATCAAGTTAGACGGCGAATTGGATTATTAATGTGGATGGAAGAGGACGCAGCACAGACCTGGGGGATTAGGAGAAGGGATTAGATAGAAGCCAGTGGAGTTATCTGCCCATTTGTGTCTCTCTCCATTTCCACCATACAATATCCAAAACTGTGTGCTCATCTTAAACTGGACTCTCTGTTCTGTAATTGCCGTGGCTGTCTTTGTATAAGAAAGAAGCTAAGACAAGCAGCCAGTGTACCAGGGATGGAAAATATTAATGGCTCAGTGTAAAATGCCCTCTGAAATGATTTGCTTTCAGAGGGATAACTTACTTTGACTTTTACTGATATAAAAGTTTCTTTGCAATCCTAAAGAAACTCTATTATGCACAAATACAGAAAAAGGCATTTCAAAATATATATGATAAATCATGATGTTTTGGGACAAGGGAAAGTGTGCAAATGTGTTTTAATGCTGTTTTTCCCCCCCTCTCTATTTGTTTTTGCATCAGGGGGAGAGACTGAGCCATGCAGTGGGTTGTGCCTTTGCTGCTTGCCTGGAGAGGAAGCAGCGCAGAGAGAAGGAGTGTGGTGTGACGGCTTCGTTTGATGCTAGTCGCACCTCGTTTGTGCGAGAGGGCTCCTTCCGCGCCAATTCCTCCTGCAGCCAGCAGGGCAGCAGTAGTGAGCGAGAGGACAAGCTGCAAGAGAAAAGGAAAGGTAGAAGTTTTTTGTCTTTTTTAGCTGCATAGGCAACAATACCACCATGATATTTACATAAAAACTGTCCTGAACAGCAGTAATTATCGTAATCCCTTCTTCTTCCAGACCAGCCCTCTATCATGCCGGCCCTTCCACCTGGCACCGCCTCCCCACCCGAGGGTGCGGCCTCCCCTATGGAGCGACCAGAACCAGGCGGGCCTCATGCCATCCCCCGCCGCCACGCGCCCATTGAACAGCTGGTGCGTCAAGGCTCATTCCGAGGATTTCCGGCCCTCAGTCAGAAGAATTCTCCCTTCAAGAGGCAGCTGTCACTCCGTCTCAATGATCTGCCATCCACACTACAACGCAAGACAGATTTCGAGACCAAGAACCCTGGTGAGTGGAAACATTTTTGATGTTATACTGACAAATGTTGACATCTGCTGACCTCCTGACCCCAGTTCTGTTTGATAGAGGCTGAAGTTCATAACATTGGAATGTGGGGTAGGGCGACAAAAACTACAGCGCTGTTCCTTCGAAGCATGAGAGGAAGCTAGTTTACATCTGTGCCCAATTCACACTTTGGTCATAATAATAAATTTGGTTTTAGTGACTGAATAATAAAGACTATGAGAAGGTAGCACGTGCTTTGATAGGTTAGTAGGTTTAGAAATGTCTAAATGTGTGTTGGATGTGTAATTTGGTAATCAAAATGATTGTTCCGCAGTCACACAAACTATATTTTTCATGCTGACATATCATTAATTTAGATGACATTCAGTGATGGCCATCATTTATTTGTTGCTTCGTCTCCTATTAGCTGAGCAGCATGTTAAGCACCACCTTTTTAATTGTTAGACTGACTGCACCACTACTGAAAGTGCACCAATTATAGTAACAAAGGTGTCTAATTTAGAGCTTTGTGTGAAAGGGGAAGATCCAAAAGTACACTAATGTTTTAGGATACATAGAAAGTTAACTATTTAAGCTATTCTCTGTATGCTGTGGAATAACCATGAATTCATTTCACCATTAGTTTTCTTTAAATCAGTATTAAAGCTACTAATATACTTACTAATGGATCAGTAGCAGGATGGAGGTTTCACAGGCAGTTAAGGATACAACACTGAAAAAAATAATGGCAACAAAATAAATATTTAGTAGTGGTAATAGACAATAAGCTATGTTTATAGCAGAAGGATTTATGATATTAACATGTAGATGCTAAAGACTAATATTAGGCTAACTTCATTCACACTTCATTTTTCTGGAGATGATTTAACCACACTTAATTTACACATGGCATCAAAATACCTCTCAGATACTCACAGGAAAATCAGGCGGGATGTCACTCTTCAAGAAGAAATGGTATCTTTTTTTATTTTTTTTTTAAAGGTACTGCAAACCTAACATTTCCAAGTAATTATTTGTTATTCCAAAGAAGTCAAAGAACATGACTACTGCCTCTACAAACTATCTGCACACGGGGCTGTATTCCACTTGCGTCATGGTTGTTTGTTGGAGGGTTATTACATTTTCCATTTGGCTTGAGCGTGACATCACTGACCCCTGACTGTACACGTCTGAGTAATCATATTACAGAATAAATCATCCGCAGATCTTAGGTGAATTTACATTCATGTTTTCGTGGTGGAGCAGGTGTAATCCTGCTTTTTTCATTTTAATGCTTACCTTCCACTGAATACTTGACAAGGAAAAAAAGAAGCAGTTATGTGAAGTGCTGTTATTATTGCGATAAGTGACAACGCTGACAGCTGCTGCCTGTGCAACTTTGGGAGCTCTTGGCTTTTTTTAAGGGCAATTAAACATAACTGATTTAGCCCAGACAGGTTGCATAAAAAGAAATACACAGTCCCCCCACCCATTCTCTGTGGTGCCACAGGATCAGAGTGCTCAGTAGCAAGGCTGATTACAGTCATTAGAAGAGATGAGAGAGAGTTTTTGATATGACTGGAATACTAAACCACAACAGCCACTCTCATTCACTATATAGTCCATCCTTTTATTTCCATTTCCCATTCGCCAGTGACTGTTACCGTATCCAGGGTGGTGGATATGTTGTTGTTTGAAGCTTTAAAGCTTTTTGGAGGCGTGTCATGAAGTAAAAGTGGACCAGCTAAAAGGTCCTCAATTTCCCAAAGTGTCCTCATTTCAGTGGTCTTGGAGGCACAAACTAGTCCCCACATAGACATATAGACAGGTACACACACACACACACACGCAGATAAAACCTAAATGGTCTCAGCCAATTCGTCTGCCTGCCTTCTCCCTTGTGACTCCCTGTACAATGTGCGTATTGATTTATGCGGTCAATCAGCTGTCCTGTTTAGCCTTCAGCTACTATTCTACCAGCCCTTGAACCTGCCACTGCACTGAGGAAAACACAGAGAATAGGCACACATGTGAAGTGCTTAAAGTACCTCTGAACTCTGAGAGGCACTGACAAGAGCAGGGGGAAAAAGGGATCACAGGGCTGGTCTTTGTGGAACAAAGGACAGAGAAATCTTTGAAGGGAGACCTTACACATGCCTCCAGCGCCCTCTGCGCCCTCCAGTATAATTCAAGGCTTGTAGCCATACAATGCAGACAGTTAAGAGAGATATACATGTATTAGAAGAATGGATTTGAATGGCACACCAGTGCGATTTGCTACACAATGGGCCCATCTGTTGTAAACACGTATTTCTCTTTACTTTACTTGAATCCCGCTCTTGTATTCTTGAATCTGTCTATGTATTCATATTATGAAAGTACAACGCGAAAGAACTCTAACAGGAAGGACGAGGAAAAAACACAAGCATCATTTCTCTGAGGTTGTGAGGGAGGCTCAGAAGACTATGAGCAAGGAATTTTATCTATTTATATCTGCAGTCAGTGGTTTAACCCATGGTTGATGTAAGAAACTTGTATTTTGTTGCTTTTTAGGTCAAACAGTGGCGAGCATCAAAGTATTTAAATGCTCTAGTTTTATGCTTTTGATGCTAACTAGGTCTGTTCAACAATTGTGTATTCCATCTCTTCTTTTCATGCTTTACTCTTTGTCTCATTTCTTTCTCTCTCTTTCCCCACCTCCCCTCGTGTGTCCTTATCTTGCTAATACCAGAGATGGATATGGGATTGCCTGGTGAGGGAGACAGCAGTATAAATGCTCTGTGTAGCCAGATCAACACCTCGTTCACCAAACCATCAGACGAGCTCTTCTCCAACCCTTCCTTGTCTGCAAATGGCCCGCCAACCGGCACCGTGCCCCCTGTTCTGCCTCCCCCACCTGCGCCAATGCAAGGTAAGATGAGACTATAATAGATCAATATTAGTTTTGAATTATAACAAGTGGTGGGCAAGTTTAAGTAAAACTTTTACTCCATCACTTCTAGCCACCTCCTCATGGGTACAGGCGGAAGCTCCTCTCCACTCTCCTCCTCCGGTTTCTGTGGCGATGCAAATGCAAAGTGGCCACAAACGCACGCCATCTGAGGCTGAGAGATGGTTGGAGGAGGTCTCCAAGGCTGTGAAGGCCCAACAGACACCTCCTCCTGGCCCCGCCATCCCCACCATCCCCGGACCTCCCTCCATCTCCAGTCATCAGATGTCCAGTCAGGCAGCCATGTCAGCTGCCCCAGTGTCCACTGTGCCCATGTCCAAACCTCTTATTTCCGGCCCCTCTGCTCTTTCAGGTCAGGCTCCGATGCCCCTCCCACCAATGTCGATATCATCAGTTCCTCTAATACCTGGACCTCCAGTTTCAGGTCCCCCTATGTCTCTTCCGTCCATGTCCATACCCACCATGTCAGGGCCAAGCATGTCTGGAGCCCCCATGATCCAGCCCTCCCTCCCTGGACCTCCAGGCTCACTTCCAAGCTCCATGCAACCGTTCCCTTTGGCTTTTGATAACACTCCAGCCCCTGTGGGAATGTTTGCCAGTCAGCCTGTCCAACCTGCTTTTGTGCCCATGCAGACCTACATGCCAGGTCTAGCAAGCAGTATGACCTATCCCAATGCCAGTGTGCCTGTGGTAGGCATCACACCATCGCAAATGGTGGCCAACGTCTTCTGCACTGCCACAGGCTCGTCGGGCACAGGCAGCACTATGGGCTCGGCCGGAGGAGGAGGACCCAAGGTGGGGACGCTTGGAGCAGTCGGGCAAGCCCATTCCTATCCAGTCCCACCTAGTGCCGTTGGCCACTCTGCAGGTTTTTCAACACCTCCATTTTCATCCACTCCACCTTTATCAACAGCCATTAATGGCCTTGCACCGCACAGCAGCACCACAGTGGCCCTCCAAAATGGGACCTCCAGCACTAGTGGAAATTGTGGCACTAGTAGCAGCTGGCCGCCAGAGGGCAGCCAGCTAACAGCTCCGGTGGTTGATTCCCAAGAGGATGACCGTTTTGAGGCCAAGTGGGCAGCCTTGGAGACAAAACCAGCAGCTCAGCAGCCTGGGAACAAGGCATCAGCTGCGACAGCCAACCCATTTTCCAACAATCTGCAAAAGACTTTTGAGATTGAGCTCTAAGACACACTTGGCCTCCCAAAGCTGTAGCACTCATCCTGGAGTTAAAGCCTCGGGACGCCAGGCACTAATTCCAGCATCTTTGCTTAGAATGGGATGGAGGTCCTTACATTTAGCCTAGGATCCAACCTGTGGCAGCCTAGCAACTTGCTGAATGCCCTCATAGGAGCCTACAATGATCTTGCTTTCTTCATGCTCCAATGAAACATAGAGTAACTTAGCAGCTTGCTGGACTGTAATCTGAGGATCAGGTCTCTAGCTCTCTAGACTTGATGGACTAAATCCTTTCACTCCACCTGCTACCTGCCTCTCCTCCATGCTTTCTCTTCTCACTTCTGGCTTTAATTTACCTGCTGGAAGTCCCCAGATGTACTGCACGTGCCCCCTCCAAGTACAGTGTTGAGGGGATGAAATGCAGTTTAGTACTTTTTTTCTTTGAAAAGGGGACTCCACTCAGATGCATTCCAATCCCATGTTTCTTGGCAATTTTACTTGATTTTGGTGGAGACTTTAGCAAATGTGGTTATGTGACAAGATACGTGGAGAAGCAGAGCAGTGACCTGTTGACCGATGAACAGACTGACGCTGATCTTAGCAAAGCACAGCAGAAGTTCAGACACCTGAAAGGACTAGTCAATGACGTGAGACTCAACCCTACGAATCCAAAAGGAGTTACTGACCAATAGTAGAGATTTATGGCCAAAAGTATTTTATTTATTGTATTTTATTTTTTATTTTAACAGGTTATATGTACTTAAAGATCTAAATCTCAAAGCAGTGTTTCAGGAGCATGATGTTTTTTTATTTCTATCCCCTATATTTATTTTTGTTGAATCATAAAGAGTAGGGAAACTACAGGTAGCAGGTTGTAAACAGTTGAAGGTAAGCACTGTGGGAAACTGAATCATGTAACAGGAACCAAATAACCAGGGCATACAGTAATGTGACATGTGAGACAAGTGTGTATATAGCGGCATGTTTCTTCCACCCATTAGCCGTCAAATAAATATGCTCCACTGCTGCTGCCGAGGCCAGCTGAGTCCGTACGGCTTCACTTTGGCATTGTCGCCCATTTCTGTTGCTAATGCCTAATTTAAAGGGCACTGGGACTTGAAAAATGTCTTCAGGATATCCAGCACACAGACACTCTGGACAATACAGCACAACAGTCCTTTGGACTCCATCTTCACCGGACAAACCCAAGGAACTTTAATAACTCAGTGGATTTAAAAAAGTAAAACTCTGCAACACTGTGCAACTGGTTGGGGGAAAAAGATGCACTACATTCTAACATTCAGAAGTCCTTTTATGTGTTCAAACACAGGGTAAAGTCTCATCATGTACAGTATGATTGTGTATTCACCTCTACTGCACTGCTGTGACGCAGCAGGGCTACACTCACGACTGTAGGAGAAGAGAAACACGAGCAGATATCGATTCAGACGTGTGGGCTGAAAAAAAAGAAAAACAAAACTGGAAGGGTTTCTGATGTCGAAATATTAGGGACAACAAAGATTCAGTTGATTACCAGAGGGGAAAAAAACCGCGGAGAGGAAAGATGAAGGATAAGCTGTATGTGAGAGGATGTTGCAACTGTATACCTTTTAAAGAATGGGATGGAGGAAGTCTGAAGGAAGGAAAATCAGATGTGCGTAAAAAAAACTAAACAAAACAACCCAAGATAAAAGCAAGAGGCAGTTTGCGTGAAAACACTTCGAACAAAGACACATTCATCACCCACGACACGAGCACTGTCTGCCATCTTTGTGTTCCTCAAGGCCAAGCCGCTTTCATTTCAGCATCCTATTCCTCGTCTCTTAAAACCTCAAGAAAACAACACTTCTTAATCATGTGAATTTATGAAAACAATGTTGCTTATTATTATAACTGCAGCCTCATAAACAAGGTTTTTCTCAAACTGTGCGCAACTCCTTATATAGTTAAAACTCCAGTACTGTCAGCAGAGCCTTCAGTGTTTGTCCAAAAGATGCAACCTTACTAAACGTTCAAGCAGGCCTGTGTAATGAAGGGCTTTTCCATGGGTTACTTCTCTATGTTATTTAAACTACAATCTGACCACAGATGCTCCTGCTATGTTCCTTAGGAACTGAATTGTGTTTGGATATATGGACTGCCACTGATTAGATTTCCTGCTCATTAACTCCCTAGAGCTTAATTAGCTTGTTTGGTCTCTTCCTGTGGCCGGCTTTTCAGAGAACCTAAATTTACATGCCACTGGCCTAATTTACACCACCTCGGCTCCTCCCAGGTTTTACCCCTTTGTTTTCTGATGACTTGATATATCTTCCCCACAGAAAAAAAAATCCAATCCGCTCCCTCTCTCTACAAAAACAAATCCGATTCCCTCATGAGATCGATGCTTTTATTTTGTTTAAAATCGTTTGGGTTTTTTTGCCCTCAACTCTTGTTTGCACGCTCCCCCCCAAAAATGGTAAATGTAGGTTAATTGTGTTCCGCGTTAAAGCAAACTAAATGACCTCATAAACTTGATTGTAAAACCATAGTTTAGTGATGGTAACAAAGCAAAACCAGTGGAGTTTATTTTTAATCTTTATTTACAGAATTTTTGTATTTAAACCAACATATTTGTATTGTAATTACATTGTACAAAAGATAAATAAAGTAATATAATATTACACCTGCTCGTGATTTCTGGGTAGTGATTGTGGTTTTCTTTTTATCCCATTTTTTGACTCATTTCTTTTCAGACATTTCCTGTCCTTCAGCTGATCTTTTATGCTTAACCCCAAGCAAAGCTGCGTTCTCTTTCTTCTGTTATTATCATTCTGGCTCATACTTGTCGGCTTCGTTGCTGCTTCGTTTTCATCAGCTGGATTTAAATGGGTTAAACACTTTTCCCTGGATGTTCTTAAACCACAGTAGAAACCCTTCAAGCGAGCCGATTTAGAGCAGTTATGCTGACATGTTGGATAGTCCTCACCGGCATTTATCTGGAAAGATCATTACGGCTCTCATATCTGCTGGCTATATATGTAACAGTCAGGAGATTGGTAGTGCAGTGCTGCAGACGAAGAGTGAAAAACACCTTTATATGTAACTAAATAAAATGTTATGTCTTGCTTGTTTAAAGCAAAGATTATGGTCATTTACAGCTCCACATGGCAGCATTGTATAATTCAGATTGAAATAATCCATATTTATCTTACACAAGGCTTTCATGCTGCCCTTCAGTTCGTTCACCGTCTGAACCACAATGGATGAACTGAAGCTTTCAAGCCAGCTTTGTTCTGATTGGATGGCCCTTGCAAGCAGGCTTGAACATCAGGTGGGTGGAGCTTGTGTTTATAGTCAGAGCTATGTGCCCAAGATGGCCATATTAAGGATACTTGCAAGGTCCACTCTGTAGAGAAAAGGAACCGTAAAAAAGTGAATTTTTGGTTTTAAGGTGGGAAATCACCGCTGGATAACTAAGAATTTTAAGAAAATTTTTTTTTTCTTTTTGAACATTGGATAAAGGTGGGCTCCCTCTTCCCTGCCCGTCTTTGTGCTGTGTAAACCACAGTCAGCAGCAACTTCTGGCTGTAGCTTCATGTTTGGCAGACATGAGCGAAAGCGGTTTGAAGGGTAATATAATACTTAGTCCCAAAGACAGACAAAAAGGAATGTGGCTGCCGACAGGTTGAAACAGCTGACAGCACATAGCCTTATTATACTTCCATTAATCTCCTTTTTTGTTACTTTCCTCTCTAACTAAACATCCTACTCGTGACTAAACTGCTGTCTAATAAGCGCTGTCCTCCATGCAGCCAGGACCGAGTGCTGCCGCTCCTCAGGTCACTAATGGAGCCAGACAAGGCCTCTTTTCTTCTTAAGGACCGTGAGAAACTGAGTGAATGCGCGCGTGCACGCACACACACACACACAGACACACACACAGCGCTTGAGCAGCGGTTGCAGTAACTCTCACCAGTCGATGAGTTTGTGCTGCAGACAAGGAAAAGAGGACAGATCAGCTGTGCTCAGTAGCTTGTGAAGCTTGTCTTCCAGTCATTTTGGATGTGCATCATGTTTCATGCATGTCAAAATGATTTAATAGCCAACGTTAAAGAAGCCATTATTAGTTGTTCTGAAAAAGCAGGCTAAGGCTTTGTTAATTAGGACAGCCTTCATTGTTGCAGCCATGGTAGCAGTGTGGTCTGTGACATTTGTGCTCCCTCGGGTTAAATCTGGGTTATTTATCAGTTTTACTTTTGGTTTATACATTACAACACTCTACAAAGACAATAACGAACATGGCAAACATTGCCTTTTTGGAATACTGATGTTAGCTTTTAGTTATTTGTGGACTCCAGGGCTGAAAAGTAAGTCCAGCATTGAATTGCCAAAGGCAGCAATTCTGTTTCTTTGTTGGATGTTTTAAAAGAATTAGAGTTGCCCCTCTGAGAATTAATGTTAATTTGCAGGTGTGTGTGTGTCTTTGTGTTATACCTGTGCACCCTATGGACCCAACACTAGCATTGGTAGCAGTAGCTATCAGCTAGTGCGCCTAGTTTGTCCATATACTCTCACTTCAATAGGTACATAGCCGATCAGATGGCAGAAGCTCAATGCATTTAGGCACGTTGCCATGTTCAAGACGACCTGCTGAAGTTCAAAGCGAATATTAGACAATAGACAAAGCCCTAGGCATTACAAAAAAAAAAAAAGCACTTTGAATTCACCGTTATTGTAGAAAAGCACTATTTAAGTACCAGTCCATTCACGAGAACAGCCAGACTGCTTTGTGCTGATTGGAAGGCTTAAGTGACCACTCGTTACAACCAAGGTAGGCAGAAGATCCACTCTGAATGCACAACCTTGAAGCAGATGGGCTACAGCAACAGAAGACCACACCAGGTGCCACTCCTGCCAGCTAGGAGCAGGCTCACCGAAGCTGGGCCACACAAGTCTTAATTTCTGCTGTGATATTCAGAATTTGGTGTTAACATGAAAACATCAATTCATCCTGCACTGTATCAAAAGTTTAGTAATTTGACCGAACAGCTTTACATTACATCTTTTTCTCCTTCACAACCCCTTCAAATACTGATGAATCCTCCTCTCTTTTAAGCATGTCTCAGTATAGTCCGACTTAGGTTTTGGTTTCTATCCCTTCCACAGCACTTCAGTCAGGTTAATGTTCCCCCAAAACACTGTTGTCTTCCATTTATGCTTTTGCAGCTATTTGCTGGTATTTTCTTAGGTTGCAGTGCAGATCATGTATATCCCTTTAAGACCACAGTGTACTCATCTTTTGATGGCTGCTTCTGCAAGAATAATACGTTGCAAAGCTTAAATCATCCAAAACTGGCTTCTTGAACATGACGGTGAGTTCACTGTACAGTCGCCAGATCTCCATCCAATGCTGACCGAAATCTGTCGAGGAGTGTTTTCAGCAGCTCGTTGAATCTAGGCAACCCAGTTCTAGCAAGATATACCAAATTAAGTAGCCGTGTGTGTATTCACTTCTTTAAATCAATCTGTAAAAACTGGTCACAGATACGTTTTTTACTTTTAGGGGTTCAGAACTATCATTTAAATTCAACCAGCTGCAGCACCTCCACCTACCTATCTACCTACCCGTACTCGTTACATTGTAGGCTGCTGCATAATGAAGTTGGTCTACATAGGAGATGGAAATGCTTGGTTGCCATGGTGACGTAGTTAAAGATTCAGTAACATCTGAAAAACCACTGGAATCTGCAGAAAAGGCTTCCTATACGTATACATTACAGCGCCGAAATAAATTAAGGTTGCTGAAAATACAATATAATCCAAATGGATTCTCAAGGTGGGTCAGACAAGTGTGTGTATGTGCATTTCTCTGCCTATTTGTTGCACACCTAGCAGCAGTGTGAGATCACTCAGAACAGATTACATTAAACCAAATCATGTAACAGTGTTTGAATGACCATTTCTGTGAAATGTGTTTCACTTCAGATTTGTTCTCTCTCTCTCTCTCGTGCTTCACTGCCTTTAGTGGATGTGTACAAAAGGAAGGCTGTTGTCTCTTTCAGCCCTTTGCATCACTGTGTATGTGCATATGATTAAATAGGGCCTGTGAGGAAGGATGCGACTGAGTATGTGTGATACCCGCGCATCTGTGCGATAGCAACATCTGATAGCTGTATAAGCACAGACTTGGTAATGGTTTTTGTGTAATGGACCATGGCCGGACTGTCAGCTCTGCACCGGATAATGTATCCATGCTACATGCACACACTCATTTATCCTTCTTATCGCTACTTGATCGCACAAAAAGGCACAAACACGCTCACGTGCATACTGATATTTCCTGCACGTCAGAAATCTCGTCAAGAGTTTCTCGCACTCCAGGACTTGTTCTCTGCACACTTGTGCGATACGGCCACATTTATTAGATATACTGTTTGCAGTGTGACCTCGCAGTCCTTGAAGCTTGAAGGAAGTAATTACATTGATTAATTGGATGTGGTTCCTATTGATTAGCACAGCATCTGTGTCTACTGTTTGGCACACAGCTGGCTCCACCAGCACGACATAGTAATGTATACATTAAGGACGGGTCTTAAACAAAGCAAAGCAGTGATCCATTTTTGTACTTGTGTACATATTAAATAAGCCATGACAAGCTTCTACTAAGGGGGTGCAGTAATATGCACTTGTCAAAACAAAAAAGCAACAAAAACACATTAAGCCCTCAGG